GCTGTAATTAACTCCAGAGTGTTTCCAGATTGCCAGCAAAGAAAAATTACAGCTTTTCTGTTTTAAATTGTTAAGCTCACAAACATTAACTATGCAGATTGCATTTACTTTGATATATTTCTATCCCGTAAGAAGAAGGAAAAAAAAAAAAAAAAAGCTTGTTTGTCTCCCTCCCTCCCCACTCCAACTCTAAAAATGTACTTTTGTTAAGTTATTTGATTTCGTGCCTATTGGAACATAATGGCTCCTTAATAGTTGGGTTTGAAATCTTTTTGCTTAAGATTTTCAGTCCTTGGCCATTCTTGTATTTGCCTTCCTTCTTTCTAGTGCTGTTAATACTGCAATGAGGAAGAAGTTATGCAGTTATTTTTTTTTTCAAGTGAAATGCTCAACACATACTAAAATAAGCAACTTGCAGAGAAAGGTAACTGAAAGAAAAAGACTAGCACCAACTTAAAAGACCGAGATCAAAGATGGTCTCTGACGTAACTGGTGCTTCCACACAGGTACTTTACCTGTGTTTTGATATATCAAAAGAAAGACTATGAGAAAAGGGCAATTTTACTACCCTCTTCTCTTGGTCAGCGCACCACACCCTTTTAAAAGCTTCTGTACAGTAGTTTGTAATTATGAATTCCAATGTGGGTAAAAATGAGGTAGTGGTGTGAACGAATACAGCCTTGTACACAAAAGATCTGAAAGCAACTGATGCAAAAAAAAAAAAAAAAAATTAGGTCCAGCCAAAAATCTTTTTTTTTTCTTTCCTCTGAATTTAACAATAAGGAATTTAAGCCTCAATGTGGCTTTAGCAACCAAAGAAAAGAAGCTCTTGGTGTCTGCATAATACCACTTTGATGGATTTTTTTTCATCAGTTCTCTGTACGTGGCAACAAATAAACAAGTATAATTATACTTGTGAAGGTCTATTCATTGCTTTGTCAGGATTAGATATATGTGCCGTTTTCACACTGCGCCTCTCTTTTGTCTTTGCCTAACTCACTATGACATATTGATAGAGGATTTGGAATGGGGAAAAGGCCACAGCAGAGACAGTGATGACCTTTTGGAAACTTGATATAATTCAAGAATTTTTATTTACTTTCTATTTTTTTTTTTTTTTGGCTTGTAAGTTGTTACTACATTTTCTTGTAATTGGACAACGTTTCAACCCTTTAAAAAGGAGCAAAAACTCCAAATGTTATAAGATGGCTAAAGAACAGATGAGAATAAAAACAATAGGCTAAGGAGTGCATTGGTCTTCTTTCCCAGCACTTAGCAGAGTGGCCAACCTAGCATTCCTTTCCCATTATTCTCTCCTCTTGATCTGATCACGTTCTTTTTAATCATTTCACAAACACTGTCTCACTGGACCGTAGAGGAGGGCTGGAGGGCTGGGACAATCTCAATTAAAAAACAGAGGTAAAACTGGCCTCTCTGATTTGGGGTTCTAATGGGAACTCTGCTTTCTGAATGCAAAGGAATTCTTCTATTGTCCAGAAAGCACCCTTTTTCATTAGCTAGCTCCTTGTAGGTGGGTTTGGTCATTTAGCAGAGCAGTTTAGGCAGCAGTGACTGCAGACGCAAGCAAAGCAGAGCGAGCAATAAAAGTTCTTTTCTGCATATTGTTCGTTAGTTCTAAAAAAGGCATTTGACATGATCAAAGTCACTGATCTTGTGAATTACTGAGAATACCGAAATATGTGTACACGTATTCTAAGCAGACTGGCAGGTATGTATTGTTCTGAATTTACCACTAAAGTCATACTAGGTTTTTCTGTCTGGGATTTATTGAAAGCTTTGGTGATTTTTAAAAACAGAATGTTTGGCAGTAGAGAAGAGAAGCTGGTGAAGACTAAATAGGAACCAGCTTAAGTGGTAAAGCAACTTTTATAGTGAGTTAACTTGTTATACAGTCATTTTGGAATGAATTCTATGGTTGAAGTTAAATGGTTGTCTTTGTGGTCTTTTTACTGGGACTTATAAAACTTTAGTGTAAATTTCCTAAATGGGTCACGCTGATACAAGAAAGACACTGAGGACAGTAAAATCACTTAAGAGCATATTCAGTGTCACTATACATCCTGATCTAAATAACTTTTAAACTGCATAAACTGAAGGGACTTCATCAGGATATATTGATAAAGATTGCTATGGTGGTAGTCGATCACTATAGAATAAAAGTTTTAAAATCAGGTACTGTATTACCAGCTACATTAATATGGATATTTTTGCTGTTGTTGCTTTTGAAACCAAATGTAAATTTGATTATATGGAAGAGTTAAGTGGTGGACTTAGTTTCTGATTTATCTTATTAGGTTGAAATTGATAGACAACTCCATGTAAAATGACATGGGAGTATAACCAAAGTATTCTACCGTATTGCTCTCAACTGTGGTGGATTCTTTAAAGTGGCTTCCATAACCTTTGTCATATAGCAATAATGTCACATTTTGGAAAGTTACTTTGGGTTCCTTTAAGGCAAAGTAAAAAGACAGGATCAACTTTATGGAGAGAAATATTGAGATGATACATTGCAGAGCCCATTTGGTGTCTGGCCAAAATTATGAACTTGTACATTACATAGAACTCTGTTGAGGTGCATTTAGAAAGTGTATAATAATTCTAACATGTGCTTTTGTGGGGTAAGGACTGCTGTAGAGCTAAAAATAAAATGGAATTCAAGTAATAAGAAAAATACCTTAGAAACTTTTACAAAGCTGTAAAATGGGAGCTTTTCTCACTCTCTAATCAAGATGACTTTTTTTCCACACATCAAATATTGTATTTGAATCAAATCTAGTAGGCTATCTTGTCATTGAGGGGAGGAAAAAAAAAAAACACCCTGGGCTCTGGAACTTTACATCTTAATCTAACATTGCTAATTTCGTATTATTTCCCACCAGGCTCTCACTCCAAATCTCCAGTCTCTCTCTGCCTTTCTCATTTCCTTCACTATAGCAGGGATTGCATTTAGGCATTTTGGCTGCCTTCAATATGTATACATGTGCAGAAGTGGCAAAAATGGTAAACATGAATATTTGTGGACTAATTAGAAAATCATTAGGTTTTCATGCTTATGGTTATCAGATTATATCCAAGGGTTTTAAAAGCCAAATGCATGCCATGAGGATAATTAACCTGGAGCTCATCAATGATTAAAATTACACACTAAGCATTGCAATGTTTGATTTAGGAGCAATGAGAATGTCATCTTAACCATCTCAGATACCAAAACGAATTTTGTTTTCATTTTCAATCTGTGCAGACCTTTTGATGTATCCTAAACTGATGACTTCCTCTCTGATTTTGCTGACAAGATTAGACTTGATTACAGTAAAGAAAGTATTAATAAGCTATTTTTCATACTTAATTTGCCAGTGACCTTCAATGATATCTTCCTTCTTCAAGAGCTTTTTCAAAGGAATTTCTAAAATGCTTAGTGATACTGGTGAACCCAATATTCTGTTTGGCTTTCTATGCAGCTCTCTGCCACTGTGAATATCGTGCAATAGGGTATAGGGGTGGGAGGAGTATTCAGGGTGAGATACTACCTGTCTACCCTAACCCATACAACATGCAATGCAGTATACCAACGTCAACCTTTCTTGTTTGGGAAATTCGTTGACTCTTTCAAATAAAGGTGTTATCAGCCTTTAAGTTATGAATCCTTTCAGTTTTAAGATTTGACAGAGGACCACTTACCTCTTTCAAAGACTCAATATAGTGCCTATGACGCAGCTGAAAATAAACAGTAAAGTTTCAGTCCACTCAGCTGCTATGTACAGTGCCATCCTTCTGCAAACTGGGAGATCTGCAGGGCTCAGAGAAGTTTAGGTTGTAATCAAGCTGCTATTACAGTAGGAGAGGTTTGCAGGCGCATGCACATGTGCGTGCATACACACACACGCAGAAGGGGAACACGCATTACCAACATATGCCCAACTTTCCCCTGGTACTTTCCCCTGCTGCCAGCAA